GTTCTAGTGAACTCAGGGTTATGATAGGAAGTGGCTAATTGCCCTTGAATGGTCTACCAGGGGTGTGTCTCAATATTCCTGCTTCTTGCGTATGAAATTTTGGTTCAGTTTTGTTGGTGATATTCTTGTTAGTATCCAAGCATAGCACAGCTGTGTTTTCCCGATTAGTTTTGCCAGAGAAAAAAATTTGAACTGTACAGTTGTCTGACGACACTGGTCAATGTAGTTGAAGATTGAACGATCAATTCGTGGTTATTTGTTCAAACCCAGCTCCTCCATATTTTTCGCGGGAGTGATCAATACGACAGTCATCGTCTCATCGTTCACTGTTCGTTAGAAGAGAGAAAACTATCAGAAACTCTGTGAACAATAACCTAATGGTTGGCTCTGTATTGGTGCAAGAATAAACGGTTCTTGAGTCACCAATTTGCGTTCTGGTTTTTCGTGTTAGTTATTACGCATAGTTTCTAAAGTCTTCCAAGGACAGTGTGAAGTCCAGTGTAGTAAGACCTGGGCACTGACAGCACTTTAAATTTTTCTAATTGTCGTTTATTAGTGTCACGCATTTCATACCTGCGAAGTGTTCCCTGGCACTGCCATAACCTTTGTCTCCTCACGGCTCATTCAAGTTTGGCAAACTATCCAGAAGTTTACCGTGAAATGTGTGGGTCGAACTTGCCCTCTGCGTTAGCATTTAACAAATACCATTTTCATTTATCATTCTACTCAATTTTCGAAGGACTTTTGAAGACAGACTCTGTCACCAATCGGTGGGCAGGTTTGGTGATAAACCCTCGGCTTAACTAAGTGACACTATTGCTGGAAGACATTTGAATTAATGCAGGAACTTACTCTAAGTCACCTTGCCTGATGCTGAATGTTCCCATTATTCACAACTTTCTCCATGTTCTTCTTCCGAAAAACTAGAAGCGGTAGAGTTGTGATGAAGTCCCAAATGTTTCCAACAGACGTTTCAGTCACTGATTCTCATCGTCGATGTGTGTTTCTCATGTACAAATGTGAAGGCTGTTTGCTGCATGAGAGCCTCGCCTAAGCTGCCGATGCATCCTTTCTGGCCTCCCTCTAAGCCGTTATTCTGCTGTTGACCACATAAAGTGTTTTCACTCACAGATCCCTGTATTTCTTCATATTGTACAAGCATTTTAAAAACATAAATTAAATCTAAAAACTGGTTTGTGGGCATTTTTTGTCGTAACCTAGACAGTGACTCCTCTTACATCGTCCGACCACTATACTAACTTGGGAGTGTATTTCACGTCTGATGGTATTGAAGGGTGAGTAGAAGACAGCATGTTTTGAAACATGACTCCCGAGATATGGACGGCTACTTTTACAGATTCCTAAAATAAAAATTTTTCAGGATAATGGTGTTTGACAGATAAGAAGGATGATAGGTGTGATTTCCTAATTATGTCCTCTTATCGTCGCTTTTGAACAAGCGTAGGTACCATATTATTCATACATTAGTTGGAAAGGGGTTTGTGACTCTCAAACAAAGATATTACTGAAGCACTATTTTAATGAGACTGAACCGGTAAATAAATCTGAACACAGCCGGTACATAATTTTCGTTACTTGTGAGAGAATTTCATAATTCGGTGAAGTTCAGCACTAACGTCGCAGGAGCGCGATTTCTCCAATGTATTTAGCTTAAATATCAAAGCTTTTCACCAACTAAGGAGCAAATTTCACCCAGGTCATGTTTTTAAGTACTGTTTGGACAATGTGTCAATAGCTCGTTAGGGTTAAGATTAAGATTATCTTTACGGTTAGGATAACGGTTGTGATTAGAGTTAGGATTAAGGTTAGGTTTAGGAATAGATTTACGGCAGATGCCATTTTTTAAATTTGTTTTATTATGTTTTATTATTACTTGTCGATCCTCTTACTGAAAACCTTGGTAATTCAAACGAGGGGTTATGGGGAAGACTGCACAACAGGATAAAATAGATAAACGATTCACAAAACACCTCATCTTCGGTCACATCAGTGAACACATGCACCGATATTACTCATAATAAATAGGGCGTATTTTTAAGTCACTGTGCGTCGGTGGCACAGTGGTTAGGACTCTCGCCGACCATGCACATGGTCCGAGGTTCGAGCCCATGCCGACGCACACCTGATATCTATGGTCGGCCTGCGAATTTTTGGCCACCGATATCCATGCTGAAAATTCCATACTTGTACCAACAATACGGTGTGGAATCAAGCTGTAATAAAAAAATTCATTGAAATGTACCCTGTTTAATGGTTTAATGCATTTTATAGTAAATAAATGTCTATTTTGTACAAAAATTCGTTCTTTGTACTATTAGTTGGCTGAAGATCACTCATGTGTTCGCATCTTTTGAGACGCTTTTGTTGAACTTTGCCCATGAGCCCCATATTTGTTTGTTCACACCGCAACTCAAAGCAGATATTAAGCGCTGAGAGTGGTAAAGGAGATCATTCACCAGGCGATCTCAGACACTGTTCCTTTAGTCTCACCAAAAGCTAGGAAGCAACGATCATGGCTGAAAAGAGGGACACAACGCCTTCTGCAGGCAAAGCGTAAAGCCTGGTTCGCGTGGCGACGATCGAAGAGTCAACCCGAATATGAAGTGTACCTTGAACTCAGGAATCGATGTAACATACGAGTCCGGAGCGATAGAAGGACATTTCAGGGAGACCTCGCCAATAAGCTTCTCGTGAACCCCAAAAGCCTATACAGGTTTATGGCCGAAAGAAAACCGACCAACCAGGGAGCATGCAATCTAGTGGGTTCTGATGGGAAATCTCTTACTAGTCTTGAAATGGCAGAGACATTCAGCCTAGCCTTTCACAGGCAACTAAATAGTAACGAGGATATTACCCCTACAGAACATCCAGATTACATCGCAGAACCAACACACGAAAACCTGCTGGGGACATTTCAAATTACCCCGGCTATGGTACTTGCAAAATTGGGAAGGTTGGCTTCGGGAAAGTCTCCAGGTTGTGATGGCATCAGACCATCTGTCCTGAAGCAGTGTTCAGAAAGTCTCTGTCAACCCCTAAGTGATCTGTTTCAACACTCCCTTGATGTAGGGAAACTTCCATGTGAATGGAAACGTGCAATCCTATCCCCTATCTTCAAGGGTGGTGACCGGCAGAATGTGACCAGTTACAGACCAGTTGCTCTACTTCCAGTGGTATCGAAGATATTGGAAAGTCTCATTGACGACCACATGAGAAAATACTTCGATGGGACTAACCTTCTTCACGAAGCACAGCACGGTTTCAGGAGGGGAAGATCCTGCGTGACGAATCTTCTACTAGCCTGGAACGATTGGACACTAACCTGGGACAAAAAGGTACCAGCCCACGTGATCTTTCTCGACTTTGCGAAAGCATTCGACACAGTTCACCATGGTCTGCTCCTTCACAAAATAGGCAAGGCGGGAGTTTCTGGAGCACTTCTCGCATGGCTGACAGATTACTTAGGCGAGAGAGAATTCTGCACCAAAGTCAACCGCATCCGATCATCTTGGCACACCTCGGCATCAGGGGTTCCTCAGGGTTCTATCCTAGGGCCGTTGATGTTTTTGATTTTTATCAATGACCTGCCCCCCCAACTAAACTGCTCTGCGCTTCTTTACGCTGACGACGTAAAGATTTGGAGAGCAATAAACTCATCGGAAGACTCAGATAGATTGCAGGCTGACCTGCAAACTCTGGGAAATTGGGCTTTGGCTAACGGAATGCCTTTCAATCTAAAGAAGTGCAAAGTAGTGCAGCTTCATTCCGGCAGGTCACAGAGTGTAAATTACACCCTTGGTGGCCAGAACTTGAGTTGTGTTCCATCAGAGCGTGATCTAGGTCTTATTCTAACAGAAAAGCTAGACACCAGTGGAAATTACTCGAGGGACGTCGCCAAAGCCTACGCAACATTACACTTTATGCACAGGCAGCTGGGAGCTCTCACTCCCGAACTGTTCTTAAGGCTATACAAGGCATATGTGAGGCCACACCTTGAGGTGCATAATATCATTGCACCTCCGCTACTCAAAAGGGATGCTAACATTCTAGAAAGTGTCCAGAGACGAGCGACAAAATGGGTGATCGGCCTCCGCAACAAATCATATGAGGAAAGACTAAAGAAATTAGGTCTTTTCACACTCAGTTACCGTAGGCACAGGGGAGACCTCATCACCGTCTACAAGATCCTAAATGACCAGGCCCACCCAAATAAAAGCATCCTGCCATTAAGCGATTATAGGCTTCCACGAGGTAACCCGCTAAGGATAGCACACCAGAGACCAAAGACTCGAGTGCGATCACATTTCTTTTCGCTTCGTGTTTGCCGTCTCTGGAACGCTTTACCGGCGGCCGTGACTACAGCGCCATCTGTGGAGATTTTTAAGCGGAAGCTAGACAATCATGCAGAAATGCAAGGTTTGTGTCTCAATGGCTTATCCTCATAAAATTTGAAACCAAACTGTCAATGAATAAGCGTACTAACTAAATCCCCACGACCTATTCTGCCTTCTCTCACTCTATCTTTTCCTTATGTCACCTTTATTATTCCACTTATCTCAACCTATATTATCTACACTACAACCTATTATTATTATTATTACTATTCTGCTTTTATGACTACACCGAATGACCAAGGGGAGTTAGGTCAAACTCCATTCACGGCAGCAATACAGTCCTAACATACTGCATACTACAAACCACATCTCGACCAATCCCCGCACCACTCCTCCTGGAGTCTACCAGAGCTAAAGCAGTCGAGTGTCGGGACTTACTACGCAGAAGCTCACCGAAGATCTGGAACCTCTACCTCACAATCAAGAAGCGAGCTCAAAGAAATCACTGGTTTATACTAGCTCGTCATCAGGATATTGGATATTGGATATTGGAAGCGCTAGTTGCCATGGTATTCAAAAGTCGGTGGCGTTTTTGAAGTGATTTTCCCAAGCTTTATAAACTACTAGAAAAATGAAAGAACTGTTTGTTATCAATCTTAATAACACGTGAGCCTGTAAAATGATAGAGTCAGAGTACGAGTGGAATAAATCGAAAGCTATAGCGCCCCAATAACACTATTTTTCATGAAGCCTAAGGGAAAATTCCAGCTTTTATTTGAAGCTTTGCTAAAGACTGACATTGATCTATCCAAGGTTTCTGTTTCTAGGTTCATAAATTACCTCCAAATTTTTACTTGGGATGCTTCCCAGCAAACACTGACTTTGAGGGGGACCACAGACAACTGTTTCACATTTTGCGATCCTCCCTACGATTTTTCCCCAAAATGTCTGCAGTAGACCTAAAGAAGATGCCAGCTGAGTTGTTCAAAAATACCACTCACTAATTTCCCTCCTACCCTCTGTACTCTTTCCAGGGTATGTGCCTCCTTTGTGAAGCATGGACTCACCGCTTGTATGAGGTCTGACATATGTTGCACAGAGTACTTGGAACGTACCCTCTTCTAGTCGAAAAGTCTGAGCTGCGGGTCGATTACAATTTGGCGTTGTTTTTAAGTCATGGCTTACAATAATTCCTAAGTCCTTTTGTCCCCTAACATCTGGCAGTTCTGTGTCCCCCAAGGAGTACTACGTGTAAGACTTTTGACCTAGGTGCATTAGCGCGCCTTTCTTGAAATTAATTTCCAGACTCCAAAGGTTGGCCCATTCAGCTAATTTATCTTTACCGTTTTGTAGTACCAACCTATCATCGTTACTATTTACGGTTTTTCATATCTTAATATCGTCCGAAAATAGTAAGGAAGATAAGGTAACAATTGGCGGCACTTCATATACGTATAATAGGAATAGCAGGGGGCCAAGTACAGTTCCCTGAGGCACTCCACTTGGTACTGCCTTCCTCCCTGATAGTGCACCATTAACCCTTACCTTCTACCTTCTATCCACCAAGTAGTCTCTAAACCACACATAAGCGTTGGTCTAATCCAAAACGTTTAAGTTTACTAAGAAGACCTAAGTGGGATACCTTTTCGAATGCTTTACTAAGATTGATAAAGTCAACGTCTATTAAATGGTTCTTATCCCTGGCCTCGACCCGATCTTCCCTTGCTAACAGTAAGTTTGTCAAGCAGGATCGTCCTGGTCGGAATCTGTGATGTTCCACTGGCAGTAAGCCATGTTTCTCCTTATGAGCTAAGAGCTGATCCCTAATGAGTTTTTCTAACACCTTTGCTATAATGCAGGTCACACTTACAGGCCGGTAGTTAGATACTAACTGGTTGTTCCCATCTTTGAAGATGGGGCTTATAAAAGCAGCTTTCCAGTCCCTGTGTAGCCTAACCTGGATCAGAGACATCTGAATGTTCTCCGTGAGTGGAATGTACATTACATCCGCCAAGGAGATTAGCAATCTAGGGTGAAGTCCATCTGGTCCAGGTGACTTACCTTCAGCTTAGACAGCTGTTTGAGAACCACTGCATCCTCTGCCACAATTGTGGGCATCTTAGTGGCTACATTAGTGACCTCGCCACACTCTTAAGTGGTACGATTAGGCGAGAAAACATCGCAAAAGTGTTTGGAGAGCTTTTAAGCTTTTGTTTCTTCTGACTCGGCTGCCTCTCCAGTGTTGCTAATGAAGGACGGTATGCCACTGCTAGTTTTAGTGGAGAACCTGTCGACACCCTCAATCTGTCATAATTTCTGATGCCATACTAGTTGCTATCTCACGAATCGCAGAAGTCGACAAAATAGTCCCTTCTGAATTTCTGAACAAATTTCACCTGAAACTTGCAAGGAAATAATCACAAGTAATATCCGATAGGTTTGTGCACTATGGAGTAGATTAGTTAATTATGATAATATCCCAGTAGTTCACTATAGATATCATAATTGAAAGGTTTGCTTAAAACATGAAGTGTCTCAGGCGTTGTACGTGTTTTAAGATCAAGTGATAAAAGTTGGTGATACATGCACTTACAGAGGTTTTATCTATTTTATGTGTAATTTTGAACTGATTTCCGTTAATAACTTAGTTTTCATTGTGATTTTGCTACTGACCCTAGGTATTGCAGCAAAGTTCTGCCTTGAAAAGAAGTGTACTAATGACTTGCATATTCAAACTGGGCTCTTGTGAACGCCGATTGTACTGATATATCTTGTTGGTATGGAGCAGTATACTATTCTTGGACGTATCGGTGAAGGTGCACATGGGATTGTTTTGAAAGCTAAGCATATAGAGGTAAACTTTTCAGTACTTTCCTCAAAATATCAAACAGAGTGGAGAACTCGTTGCCTTAAAAAAGGTCCCTTTACGTAAACTTGCAGACGGAATTCCAAACACAGCTCTACGGTAATCTAATTTTGGGAAACTTATTGTTTCAGAGAGATAAAAGCTTTACAATTCATTGAATTTAGCCCTTATGTTGTCCATTTGAGAGAAGTCTTTCCTCATGGCACTGGCTTTGTTCTTGTCTTTGAGTACATGGTTACGGATCTCAGTGAAGTTATAAGAAATTCACAACCTCCTCTTACTGAAGCACAGGTAAAATGTTATATGTTAATGATATTGAGGGGAGTCGAAGTTATGCATGCCAATGGTATAATGCACAGGGTAAGGAAATAATTGATAGAGAACTCTCCTTTAGGACCTTAAGCCTGCCAACTTACTTATTAGTTCTACAGGTATCCTAAAAATTGCAGATTTTGGTCTTGCAAGAGTTTTTGAAAACAGCAGTGAGCGTCTGTATAGTCATCAAGTGGCTACAAGGTTTTGTTAAAATCCAAGATTATTTTTGATTTTAGATGGTATCGAGCTCCTGAGCTTTTATATGGAGCCAAGAAATACACAAATAGCGTTGATTTATGGTATGAAAGTTATTACTTATTGATCTTTTAGGGCTATTGGATGTATCTTTGGTGAACTACTTAATAATTCTCCATTGTTTCCAGTATATTGCAGCTTTACAGTAATAGTGTTTTGTTTAGGGCGAAAATGATATTGAACAACTATGGTTTGTTGTCCGTGTGCTGGGTACTCCAAGTGAAGATGTATGGCCTGTGAGTTCCATTAAGCTATTGAGTTCATAAATATCAGATTCGTAGAATAAAAAGTTCTTTTATCTGTTTTTGTTATCTAAGAAATGAAAATAATTGGAGCACACCCCTTATTTTCAGTTTTATTTTGAAACTATAGAGTATTAGACAAGTGGTAGTAATGGTTCCATAAGTGAAATGTTTCGTGAGAATAAATATGTTTATATAGGCGAATAACTTTATTATGCACTGGACTTGGGGCAAAATTAGTTCTTTGATACAATCGGCACCCCATAAAAGTTTTCGTAGAAATAATGTGAGTTGTACGAATAGAACTTGGACACTGTGGAAGAGTACAATTCCATCACAGAGTAAATTTATTTGATGAAGTCTCACATTGTTATACAGTAGTATTTACTGAGGATGTTTCGAGCACCTTGATATAATTATGAGCAGTAAATGGTGCTTGAAACATTATAAGTAGGTAATACTGTATAACACTGTGAGACTTTACCAAGTAAATTTACTGTATGATGGAATAATGTAAGTTACATGTTCTAAGGTTTTTCTCAAAATACTTATATGGCTTAATGTTAGAAAACAAGTAAACAAGATAAAATTACGCTGAATTCGTACTGAGTGACTCATCAGCATAGAGCTTTGCATCAGGTCAAGTTGGTACATTTCGTAAAATTGCACATGAGGGTAGACTAAAGAAAGGTAATGAAACTATAATCAAAACAGATATTCAACAGTGAAAACAATTAGGGGAGGATTTTCAGAATGAGGATGACGACAAGGAGTGGAGACGTCTGTATCATAGCGAATGACTTTGAATCACTTAACTATCAGTCTCTAGCCATCGGTTCTCAGCATCCTGAGAACCCTATCCAGATAGTCCATATCTCTCTGCGTAACTCACACTTCCAGCCAAAGGGTTGTTTTCTCGTCCTATCCCACTAACAATAGTGACTTACATTTACTTGTGGTAATAAGTTAGTCTACTTTTTTCCTTAGTAATGCATGAGTTTTGTGTAATTCTTTGGCGTACTTTTCATTTTACTTTTGGTGTTTGCTAATCTGTTGGGAAAGGAAATAAAAGAACTACCTGATTACAACAAGATAAGTTTCAATGTGTGTGAAACTATTCCATTTGAAGATGTTCTCCCAAATGCACCAATTGAAGCGATTGATCTTGTTCGTAAGTTTTTGGTATATCCACCACACCAAAGAATCACAGTATCTGACGTAAGTATTGCACAGTTACAGTTTTCCTGTTCTATAAATCATGATAATATACTTATGAATGCGTTATTGTTTCACAGTAAAAATGGTTTTTTTTAACAGTTTTGTCTTTGGAATTTTAATAAGTCGTTCAACGATGTAAGTATAGAAATGTAGTAGGATCTAGAATGGTGGCTCCCACCAAGGTGAGAAATCTAGAGAAGAACCTAGGAATTTATATTTGTCTGCTGATAGTCATGTGTAGAGTGGGTCGGAGTAATATTCCTAATGACTAATATAGTTTAACGGATGAACAAAGGGATCAGTGAGTGTTGGTTCAGCAGACGAACTCCTCAAAACCCAAAATAGGAATAATTTGTCTCTACTTGCAAATCTGCTGGAGTTATTACTATGATTAGATTTAAAATGAGAAATAATAGAACTATCTTGAAAAAATCGCGAATTTTCCATTCAGGTAGTTATAGATTGGAAATTATGTTCGTAACATCATGCAGTTGCTGGTACCTTGTGTGTTACACCAAATAAGTTAACTCTGGGTCATTCTGCTTTAATGACTAAATTCTACTTGTACACCTCACTTCGATCACTATTAGGCCTTAGTGAGATAGTTGGTGTGACAGGATAACACATTGGGTGTTGATATTACACTGACTTCTAGGCGAACGCTTAAGTTTACAAAAAGTTAGCCAGTGGTCCTCCTCAAATGATCTTAAGTTAAATCCTTCCAAATGGCAAACTGTTAATTTAAATTTTAGACATAAACAAGATCTAAGTGAACGCGTTCTTTCCCATAGTTCTTGTAAGATATGGGGGACTTAACTAGAAACGAACTCAAGTATCAGGTATTTTGGATTAATTGTTCCCTCTGATATTCCCTGGTCGCCCCACATCTTTTAGGTTTCCGGAAAAATATTTCGTCCAACCGTCTACATAAGGAAGTTAAGACTGTAATATTGCGAAGGACAGTAAAAGCTGTTGGTATGGGGGTGATGTGCTAACTCGTTAGTATTGTTGTGAACAGATACTTGAACTCATGCCAGAAATCGGCGAAAATCCTATCGTAGGATTCTGAGAACCCTCTTTATTTTATAACTTTCCTCTTGCATGTCATCAGATGGGACTGAAGGCGGTTATAAAAGAAGTTATACTTGCACAACTAAATATAAAGACTGAACGATATCTTACATGGGACGCATCGTATGAGGTGAAAAATGTGTTGGACGTAAAATTGCTAACTTATCGCAGAATAGAAAATAAACAGCTGTTCTATTTCTCCTATCGATAATATATTGTTATGGTTATTCCTATTAATTTATAATTTTTTTCTACATTAATAATACATAATCGTCAATACCGCCTAGTTTACCAGTTGATCCTAAGACTGGATAAAAAAGGGAAGGTTGGGCATGGGGCTAGCGTCTCTACCCTGAAAAATCAACCCAATCGGTGTAGAAACTTCAAAGCACAGAGGCACATAAAATAAATTTATCCTTCGCTGGAATCGGAGAGACGAAATGGCGCGGGTTGGTGAACGCCTTAGAGATACCAGTTAGTTGCTGTGCTTCCTTCCGATGAAAGACACGAGAACATGGAATGTCTACACAATGTACGAAGTGAGGAAGACCGCTGAGGTTGCAAAAGAAATGAGAAGACCTGTCTTGTAATCTCTATGAATTTGTGAGAGCAGATGGAATAGAAGTGGATTTTCCAAATTGTTAACCGTAGAGTCAGCAATCCAAGTTAAATTATCCTGTTCTACGCATCTGCAAACGACTCAGATCAGAAGAATAAGGTGGGATTCTACAGACGGTAATGGATAACACTCAATGTAGTGACGTCAAAATCCTAATGGGAGCCATCGACACAGGACAAGTCATTATTGGTCAAGAAGCTTTCGATGAAACGATTGGGAACGGAGAACTTCTCGCAGACTTCTGAGGCTTCAGTGATTTGATGACTAAATGCAGCGTTTAAAAGCAAAAAGAAATACACAAAGAGATACGGATTTCAAAAGATGGACACACAAGGAATTAGACAGACTGCATAACAATCTCAAAAAAGTGGAGACGCAGCATGCAGGATAAAAAACAGAGAAGAGTAAATGTAGGCTCAGATCATTATCTAATGCCAGGAACCTCCAAGGTCAAGTAGAAAGGGTTCAAATGGAGCTGAAGAAAGGCAACAATTCAAGGACGAAACTGCAAAGGACGCATTCAATGCAGCCATCAGTGAAAATTTGGTGATATTATGCAGCATTGCCAAAGCAACCTGTATGGAAGAACACTGAAACCCTCTGAAAGTAGTGTGAGGGGAAACCAGTATAACCGTCTTAGGAAGGAAGAAAGGGCAAGACAAGGAATGGTTATACCAATACGTGGAAAATGATATTGAAGAGAGGGATGGTGAGGCAGGAGGAAAACCAGTGCAGAGATGAACAGAGGAAGGAGGAGCTGAGTCCAATGTACAACTTATTGAATAAAAATTTAATGAAGAGTGCTAAGAAAGACAAAAGGTAATTCTACGGCTCACTTAAAAATGAAGCAGAACCGTCTGCAGGTAAATGGGATGTCAAATCACTATACCAAGTAACTAAGTCGCTATCCGGGAAGGGACCAAGATAGATGAAACAAATGAAAGGTAGTCAAAGGAACCTGATTATCAAAGGGTAGAGGCAAAGGAAATAACGAGGTGATCACTTCAAAGGACTGCTGAATAAACGGACACCTACAGCTTGCCGAAAAATACCACAGAGTCTCAGTACTGTCAGCGTATACTAATCCTGAGACAGAAGCAGAAGTCTCGAATGCCATAAATCTACCGAAAACCAGCTTGGATGGCAGCTGGGCCAGACGGAATTCCTGCAGAATCACTGAAGACGGATCTGTCTGTCTGTCTGTCTTCGACATAGAACTTTGCACAAATGTGCGGAAGTTCGAGTCGCCACATTCCGTGTAGCACGCGAAGCAAGAGAAGAAAGTACAAGAAAAGCATAATAGAAACAGTGAGCAGAGGTGTGAGACAAAGGAGTAATAAAGAAATACAAAACAATTTCATTGAAGATCATAAGTCACAGGGAGTGGATGCATCTGCGCCACTGAGAACGATTTTGAGCCATGTCACCAATTGTTTCCAACCATAGATTTTTGCCGTCCCGAGGACCCCAGCCTGGAAGTCTACACCTTCCTACGTGGCTTAGACCAACTGTTGTGGATTTCATTGACTGATGCCAAGTTTTTGTTTGACCGCCGCTAGCTTTTTTCCAGCCTGACCCTATATCCGCTAACATAGCTCGTCGAGGGAGGCGATGACTTGGCATACGTAACACATGTCCTAACCATCTCAGTCGATGTAGCTTCACGACTTCGTCGATTGATTTCCCCTGTTTACCTAGAACTCTACGCCTAACCTCCATGTTGCTCACCTTATTATGCCACTTTACACGGGAAATAGAACGCAGGCACCTATGATCAAAGGCAGCTAGTCTTTTCATGTCTTCCACTCTGAGTGACCAGGTCTCACAACCATAAAGGAGGACGGAGCGGACTGATGAGCAGTACACCCGCCCTTTGGTCGATAGTCGAACATCTCGTCTACACCATAGTCGGCGTAAACTGGCAAATGCGAAACGAGCCCCCTGTATGCGTGCTGAGATTTCGTCAGAGATCAACCCGTTGGGGCTGATGGTACTTCCCAAATAAGTGAAGCGGTCAACGTGCTCTACCACTTCACTTCCTATTTTTAAACTAGGCGTCGATGTAGTCCAGTCCTGTAACACCATCTTGCATTTGGCGGGAGCGGATCAGGAGACTTCAGGGGATACCCTTATGACACCATTTCAGAAAGTCTGGAAGAAGGAAAATTACCTACTGATTGGAAGAAGGGCTACCTTGTCAAACTCCAAAAGAAACAGTATTTAAGCACTTGTGGAAACTGGTACAGAACCATACTAGTGTCCACTGTAAGCAGAGTATTAAGTCGCACCATGCTGGAGAAACTAAAATCCTCTCTGGATTCGAAATTCCGCCCTGAACAAGCTGGATTTAGGAAAACCAAATCAGATAGTCTGTGACCCCCTAATCTGCACAACCCATTGCCAGAGACTTCAAAGGTTGATGCCAGGTCTTGGCCTAACCGCCTGTAACTCTTTTCCAACTTAATCGTATGCCAGCTGTCAAGTGCTTCCATATTGGTCATAGACTTGGCACATCATGAGTTGCATTTCCAGCAGACTGCAGACTTTCATAAACAGCTGCTTTCACCTCATACCGAAGATCAGATGGCCCGGAAGGATATTATTGTTTCCTTTAATTCCTAGAGGAACATAGGGCTTCAGCCGCACGTCTCCACTGCGTTCGGTTCTCCGCTAACGTTTTCACCTGGCTCCACGTCTGCCCACACGCTTTCATCTCCACTTGGCATGAGCTCCTCCACATCACCCTCGCACTGATGACCAACTTGCCACTTCCCATTCGGGTTCCACTCGACAATCTGGTGTGTGATTTCACTTGATAATCTTCTCAGAGTATAGCCAATCCACCTCCACTTCTTCTTGCATATTTGTTGCACAATTGCTTGCTGGTTAGTTCGATCCCAGAGATTCCTCCCTGTTGCTGATCTTTTCTGGCCATCTGATCTTAAGTATTGAGCAAAGACAGCTGTTGATGAAGGTCTGTAGTTTGTTTGAAGTGCCCCTTGACTATGGCAACAAGCAATTCTGGCAACTAAGCAACCAATAACCTGCTGTTCAACAGATATGCAAAAGAGGATACAGATGAATTGAGCGCACACCAGGCCCTGGAGTGGAACCCGAAATTGAGATGTACTTCTGAAGCTCTATTTTCCGCTCTGAACCCCAGTGAATAATAATAACATTATTGCTGTTAATTTTACTGTAAATGTCATTAAGTTCTCCAATTATTTTCCCCCTAACTATAGAATGTTGTACCGCGTGCTTATAATTTGACAATGCATCAAAAGTATTGCATAGAATAATTCTATTATTGCAACTATTAATTGTTGTTATTATTTTTACGTCAGTATAATGCTGAAGTAATGGAGCGATGTTATTTAGCTCGTAGCATAATTGTTGTTTTTCTTTCTTTTATTTGTTTTGTTTTCTGTGCTGTTAAAGTGTAATGATTTGTGATAAACTACATAGTCTTAAATAGATGAGCATTATTATGTTTTCTTATCTTGTCTGAATAGTTCTTCTTATATTGTGAGAAGATACTACTACTTGTAATTATCTTTATGTGATATAATTTCTTAAATTGTATGTTCATGTAGTATTATGATACTCAATCTACGCATGAATTTGTTGCATTGTATTTCAGGCAATAAAACATCCTTATTTCACCACAGATCCACTCCCAGCTCAACACTCTGAACTTCCTGTGATTACTCCAAATCGCACTACTTTGCCACATCCTCAAGAAACTTATGAAGTTTGCCTAACAACGCCTTTGAAATCAATTCTTGTCGATCACCATTTGCTCAAGGAAGGTGTCAGATTACTTGATAATACATCCGAGAACCATTCAAATAATTCAACACATCTTCACAGCAAATCACCAAACCAGATAGCCATTCCATTGTAATGATATAAAGCGAATGAGTTGGTCATTCTGTTATGGTTCTGAAACGGTGTATATTTATGCCAGTGGTTGTTATCCTCAGAAGCAACAATACACCTGTGTCACTTTTTATGGACTTTCTTCGTCTCTAATATCCTACTTCTTTTGTAAATAATTATCAGGAGAATTAACTTTAATTGAAGTGTCATTAGAATATATTAAAGGTGTGTAAAAAATACATATCATATTTTGTAATTTTCTATTTATCAAATTCCAACTGTTTTATTTAAACAGTATTATGCAGTGATGCTAATTTTAAATCCATCTTTCATGAAGTAATAGGAAATGTCAGTCAAGGAAAACATTTTTCGGACCAGGTTGTGTATTTGTAAATTGGTTGTAAAATTGGTCTCGGATTAAAATGCAGTGGTATCACTCATATTCTCAATCGTAGCAAATATCTTAATGAACACTTGGGAAAATGTGTCTCTAGTTAATAATAGCCCAAAGTTATGGTGGAAATAGATGGATGACATTTTCACTATGTTTAAAACAGAGCATGCGTAAAAGTTCACTGGTAGGAGGAATTAGGCTTACGTTTCTGTTAGAAAATGAACAAGGAGAATTAGTTGTGTAATATTTTAGAATTACACGGACAGGAGAAGGTAAACTGTGGACTAGTGTTTATATAAAGTCAAACTACTCATCCGTTGTCTGTAAAGGAAGGCTTAGTTAAGCGTCTAATAAATCGAACGAAAACTCTAAGTAGTTCATCAAAATGAGACAGTCAGAAGAGGGATTGATGCTAAACAAGTATCCTACAAAATTCACTATGAAGATAAGGTTAGCTCACAATGAAGGAAAAATAGTGGTGAAACTGCTAGCCACAACATAAAAAAGGAATTCCAGGCATCTATAGTCTTGCCGTATAAGGAAAGGGCATCTGAAACCCTAAAGATGATTCTGAATAGAGAAGGAATTAGGGTGGTATTTAAACCTACAAACTGACTCAGTGATTGGCCTTAAAGAGACGAAAAGTTTAGAGAGTAACTCAGTAGTCACAATGCATATGCTAACACACAACCACAAAATAAGGTGAGACAGAGCTACAGTTCGAAAAGGTAATTTGGGTACATGGAGAGATAGGTTGGTTACTGAATCTTTGTTTTCAAGTATTGGGTTTGTAAGGCTTTTGTTTGACTGCATGAAGGATTTCATCATGAGCTGACATCGGTTGGAGAACCACTGGGAAACCTGGGAGTACTGAACAGCTGTTTCGTCCTAGTTTGAAACTCTTCATCAGTACGCACCCACTGGGTTCGAACCCAGGACCTTCTGGTTACAAGGCTAGTGAGCTCGTGGACCACTGAGCCACTGCGTCCCGATCCAATGGTTCTTGGATTCTAACTTCTGCCAATTCACGACGCAACGCGACCATTTCGCAATGTCTTTGTTCATAGAATTCACACCTGACAAATGCAATAGGGATGACGCAAACTTAACACTATAGATATGGAAAATATTACCACCAACAAAGTCTAAAGAGAAGAAATCGAGGAGTTAAATAGACAATATTTGGAAGCTTCGATATACATACTACATTATACAACAATTTACCAATAAATTGGCGCTGCTTCATTTTGGAAAGATGAAGAGTAATTAAGTAATAAGTGAGTGCTCAAGTTGATTATGTAACAGATTAATATAGAAAAAAACAATTTAGAAATGATAACACGTGATCAAAGATGAAGTAGTCAGGAAAATAATTTAGACAATTATAATTTTTAAAAGGTTTACGGAGAGAGTGAAGTAGACCGGTTTATACATTCATGCAACGATGGTATGGAAAGTGGATGTACATATTTCTTCTGGATACACAGGTCCGGCTTCTTCAGATGGATTCCTATGGCTTCAGCTGTATGTGGAAGACGAACTCGTAAAGCAAAATTAAGGCTAGTAGGAATGCGATAAATAATTTTAAATGCTGTATTAACATCAACTTTATACTCATCATTTACAGGGTGTGCTGAAACAGAGCTACGAATAAATCTTGTCTGTCCGTTGCTTAGCCATGCAGGATGGTGTTCAAAATTATGATGTTGAGACTTCCTAATTAAATGCATAATGTAACCAGCTCCACAAGGACAGTCAAACTGGTGGATTCACAGAGAGGAGGTAAAATTAGGTGGTTTGTCCTTATTTCTCGAACGTAAAATGGGAGTGGTAGTGAAGAGACAACTTACCTCTACTGGATCGAAAGCTCTTTTAACTGCATTCTTCAGGCGTTGCGTTACTGTGTCATTGCTGTTTTCACTGAGGAACTACAGTTTTATAAACAATAGCTATTGCCATACTGACTCTCCTTGGCCCCAAATTCATATTTTCTCAATGAACTTATCTAGATAGCCATTTTTACTAAGTAATTCTCTAGTCTTAAGCTCCTCATCTAGAAAGTCGTATGAACAGTTTATCCTAGCTGTATGAACCAGACACTTCGCCGTGTTACGTTTATATTTCAGTGGTACAAAAATCAAAGAATGAGTGAACTGACTTATTGTTGTAGGTTTCCTTAGTGTGCCGTCTTCTTTCGTGGTCAGAAAGACGTCTAGGAATGAGATAATGTCATTACTTTCTTTTTCTATGGCTTAGTTTATTGCTGAATGCTCATCATTGAAAGTGTCGAGGATGTTCATTGCTTCATTATCATTTTTCGTAACCAGAAATGTATCATCCATATGTCGACAGAATTTATAGGTGATTCGATTACAACTGAGTGGCTGAATTTTATGTTCTCGCTCCTAAGGCTTATTAGTCTCAAGGTACACAAATTTGGTACAACATGGGCACCGAAAAATGCATCACACTATCGCTAGGAAATAGACGAGAATCACCTGGGGAATTTAAGTATTGAACGAAGTAACTGTTCGTTTCTTCATGATTTGCAGTGGTTCTAGTTAGTGGCAATAAATGACACAGTCTAACTGGAAAACAGTTGGATTCATAGAAAGGCAAAATTTTAAATTCGGAATATGTAATAATATCAAGGAATTACTGTCATCAAATGAACTGTAGCCAAGATTTGACAGATTTTTTTTTACAAATTACTGTCATGACCAAAAATTTATCAGAAGAAGTAGTGAAGACAGGCCTTCCAGTGACCACTGAGAAGGCGGACAATATCAAGTACTAGTCCTATCAACGGAAGAAATTTGAGTAAAATTCACTTTCACTTATCTAGAGGGCATCTTTTCAAATACGGGCAGAACTGATTGGGTTGTCAAAGGCATAATCGAAAAGGGAAGAAAGGCATTCAGTACTCTAGAATCATCGTGGAAATCTACTGCATTCGGCATGAAGAATAAGGCTCGAATTTTTAACGCTAGCACTAAGTCCTTTCTTCCGTTTGGCTCAGAGACCTGACGCATCACTAAAAGCGTTTCCACCAGAATGCAGACCATCAGCAGCTGCTTTCGCTGTTTCAATACTGAAGATCAGGTGACCTGCTGAAAAAGAGAAACAAGAAGGAAAATCTCGCAACGAACCAAACAAAGATCTGTTGCTCAAGAAATATGCAGAAGGAAATGCGGATGGATCGTGCACACACTGAAGAGACATTTGAGTGAAATCATGTGCCAGGCCCTCGAGTAGAACCCAAGAAGGAAACGAGATATAAGTTGGGCTTGTGTCTGAGAGTGACATGGAGGCGGTAGTGTGATGAGGAAATGACAGCTGATGGACAATCTTGGAGCCAGTCAAAAAATACCAAAGACAACAGAGGGAAGTGAAGAGGTTCTCCTGAGGCCCTGTGTTCCACTCGGAATCTAAAGGAATAACAATCGTAACCAGAATAATAGAGTTCTCATCTAATTTTACTACACCTTGGCAATAACAATTATTTTGAGAAGCTTCAATAAGCCACATATATTTGGGAATGACTGTTTTGGGTATCTTTCAGACATGATGCTTAACGCATATCTTATTTTTGTAGAATTAGAACCTAGACTGTTTTAACCAGGTATATGAAGGCATAAGCTACTAATGAATACGTAACTTTACAGACTTATTTCATGTATTCGTTTGGTAAAATAGGATATATTACAGAAAAATTTATTTGAGCAGATGTAATAAGTGATGCATATTAGTGTTAGATGTTGTAAGTTAGATTTAGTGGATAGATTGTTGACTGGATCCGAAAGGAGCATAAGTTTCATGCTGATAGTGTTTTCTGAAGCAGTGTGCTCCTGAACACAGCCCCCAATTTTCAAGTACCGGTTTTGTAGGGATTTTGTTTGATTGCACAGAGGATTTCATCATGAGCTGACATCGGTTGGAGAACCACTGGGAAACCTGGGAGTACTGAACAGCTGTTTCGTCCTAGTTTGAAACTCTTCATCAGTACGCACCCACCTGGATTCGAACCCAGGACCTTCTGGTTACAAGGCTAGTGAGCTCGTGGACCATTGAGCCACTGCGTCCCGATCCAATGGTTCTTGGATTCTAACTTCTGCCAATTCACGGCATAGTACGATCACTAGCCAATGTCTTCGGCGAGTATTTGTCCTCACACCCCACCAGAAACTGCTGGGTTCGAACCCTGGAGGACGGTGTGTACCGTTGAGGAGTCCCAAACTAGTACTCCCAGGTTTTCCAGTGGTTCTCTAACTGATGTCAGCTCATGATGAAATCCTCTGTGCAATCAAACAAAACCCCTACAAAACCGATATTTGACAATTAATCTGATGCTCACTAGTGACTGGCCCTATTCAGGCGGTTAACCTGGGGTTCTGGTGGGAAGCCGTGACCCGTAGGGTACAGCAGGTTAAAGATGAGGCAGTAACTCATCGAAGAAGACACTGCGAAATGGTCGCGCTATATCGTGAACTGGCAGGACATAGAGTTCAAGGATCGTTAGATAGGGTCCCAGTGGCTCAGTGGTCCATGAGCTCACCTTTTAACCGGAAGGTCCTGGGTTCGAACCTCAGTGGATGCGTACTGCCGAAGAGTCCAAAGCTAGTACGAAACAGCTGTCCAGTAACCCCAGGTTTTCCAGTGGTCCTCTAACTGATGACAGCTCTCAATCATTTAGTTTTTTTTCAAGTGTTAGCTGGATATAAAACAGTTGTCAATATCGCTAGGGTGTTATTGGTAGCTCTTCCAACCTATTTAACTACTATTTGTGAAATAAGGAAAGCACTAAAGTGAAAATCTTTAGGACGAACTCCCTAAAATTAGGACTAGTGGCTTTTGTTGTAGCACTGTTTAAACTAAATACAAAGGTCTTTTGATGTTTTTATC